ACTGATGAACACAGATGCAACAATCTTTGACAAAATATTAGCAAATCAGATTAAAATTAAAATTTAAACAATACACTAAATACATTAAAAGGATCATACACCATGGTCAAGTGGGATTTATACCAGGGACACAGGGATGGCTCAACATCCACAAATCAATCAATGTGATACACCACATTAACAAAATGAGATATAAAAATCACATGGTTATCTCAATAGATGTAAAGAAAAGCATTTGACAAGATCCAACATCCATTTATGGTAAAAATTCTCAATAAAATGGGTATAGAAGGAAAGTGCCTCAAAATATTAAAGGGTATATATGACAGACCCACAGCCAACATCATACTTAACAGTGAAAAACTAAAAGACATTCCTCCAAGAACAGGAACAAGACAAGGGTGCCCACTCTTGCTACTCTTATTCAACGGACTACTGGAAATTTTGGCCAGAGCAATTAGACAAGAAAAGGTAACAAAAGGGATCCAAATAGGAAAGGAAGAAGTAAATCTCTCAGTGTTTGAGAATATGACATCATTCTCTATATAAAAAATCCTAAAGAATCCACCAGAAAACTATTAAAAATAATCAACAATGGCAGCAAATGTACAAAAGCAACATACAAAAATCAGTTGCATTTCTATACACTAATAATTATCAGAAAGAGAAGTCAAGAACAGAATTCCATATGAAATTGCAACAAAATAATAAAATATCTAGGAATAAATTTAACCAAGGAGGTGAAAGACCTATACAGTGAAAATTATAAGACGTTATTGAAAGAAATAGATGAAGATGTAAAGAAATGAAATGATATTCCATGTTCAGGGATTGGAAGAATAAACATAGTTAAAATAGCCATACTACCTAAAGCAATCTACAGATTCAAAGCAATCCCAATCAGAATCCCAATGACATTCTTCACAGAAATAGAACCAAGAATCCTGAAATTTATATGGAACAACAAAAGACCCCAAATAGCTAAAGCAATCCTGAGAAAAAAAGATCAAAGCTGGAGGCATACAATCCCTGACTTAAAAATATACTATAAAGCTATAGTAATCTAAACAGCATGGTACTGGCACAAAAACAGGCACACAGATCAATGGAACAGAATCAAGAGCCCAAAAATAAGACCACACATCTATGGACAGCTAATCTTCAACAAAGGAGCCAAGAACATACAATGGAGAAAGGAAAGTCTCCTCAATAAATGGTGTTGGGATAACTGGACAGCCGTGTGAAAAAGAATGAAAGCAGACCATTATCTTACATCATACACTAAAATTAACTCAAAATGGATTAAAGACTTCAATGTAAGACCTGAAACCATAAAACTCCTAGACGAAAATATAGGCAGTACAGTCTTTGACATTGGTCTTAGCAGTATCTTTTCGAATACCATGTCTCCTCAGGCAAGGGAAACAATGGAAAAAACAAACAAATGGGACTACATCAGACTAAAAAGCTTCCACAAGGCAAAGGAAACCATCAACAAAACAAAAAGATAAGCCACCAACTGGGAGCAAATATTTGCAAGTTAATTTCAAAAATATATAAAGAACTCATAGAACTGAACATCAACAAAAAAAAACAAGCTGATCAAAAAACAGGCAGAGGATCTGAAGAGATGGTTTTCCAAACAAGATATACAGATGCCCAACAGACACATGAAAAGATGTCTAACATCACTAACTCGTAGGGAAATGCAAATCAAAACTACAATGAAATATCACCTTACACCTGTCACAATGGCTGTAATTAACAAGACAAGAAACAACAAATGTTGGAGAGGTTGTGGAGAAAAGGGAACCCTCATACACTGCTGGTGGGAATGCAAACTGTGCAGCCACAGTGGAAAACAGTATGGGGATTTCTCAAAAAATTAAACATATAAATACCATATGATCCAGCTATCCCACTACTGGGTATTCATCCAAAGAACTTGAAATCAACAATTCAAAGAGATTTATGCATCTGTATGTTCATTGCAGCATTATTCACAATAGCCAAGATGTGGAAGCAACCCAAGTGTCCATTCCAGTGGAATACTATTGAGTCATAAAAAAGACAAAATTGTGCCATTTGTGACAACTTGGATGGACCTCGAGGGTATTATGCTAAGTCAAATAAGCCAGACAGAGAAAGACAAACAGTTGTATGTGGAAGAAAAACAAACATATGGATAAGGAGAACAGATTAGTGGTTACCATAGGAGAATGGTGGTGGGGGGGGTGGTAAAAGGGGTCAATGGGCACATATGTATGGTGACAGATAGAAACTAGACTATTGTTGGTGAACACGATGCCGTCTATACACAAACTGATATATAATAATGTCTACCTGAAATTTACAGTTATAAGCCAATATGACTTCAATAAAATAATTTTTTAAAACTATCAAAAAAAAGGAAGGAAATTCTAACAACATACTACAACATAAGCAAACCCTGAAGACGTTATGCTGAGTCAAATAAGCCAGGCACAAAAGAACACATATTGTATACTTCCACTTAAATGATGTACCGGAATAGGCAAATTCTAGAGACAAAGTTGACTGGTGGTTACCAGGGGCTGTGGGGAGGGGATGATGGGCAGGCATTGTTTAAAGGGGACAGAGTTTCAGTTTGGGATGCTAAAAAAGTTCTGGAGCTGGATGGTGGTGATGATTACACAGCGTTATGAGTGTACTCAGTGCCCTGAATTGTACACTTCAAAATGGTTAAATGGTAAATTTTATGTTATGTATATTCTACCACAACAATTTTTTTTATCTTAAAAATATCTTAAACTTTCATCACTAGTCGTATTGCTGCCATAATACTGATGTGGCTTCTTTGACATAGGTCTAAGGACAGGTTAAAGCAATAATGTTAGGGTTTCAGAACCAAGAAGGCATAAGAGAAAAGGGATACAATGATGAAATCCAAGGAGATTAGAAAAACTCTGCAGTCTTAAATTTTAATTAGAAATATTGGTATGAATTCATGCCTTTTGCACTCCTCTTTTTAAAACTGTATATTTTCTAGCTCTGTCCAATTTTCTAAGAACTATTTCCCATTCAGAGGAACCAGGGCTTTGGAGAAATGGCTGATTCAAAATCTGTGACAGGATACAGACAAGGTGAGCCTGCGATGTCCGGTGCCAGAAAGCAATGAAATTATCAAAACCTAATGTGACCACATGAAAAGGACACAGGTTCCAATTTGAAGGTGCTCCCATCGGCCTAAGGTGGGACAAACTGAACATCAGAAAGAATGCTGACTGCAACTGATTAAAACATGAACTGTGCAATGTCATAAATGATGCTCAATGATACTCAAAAAGAAGGAGAAACAAAGTAGAACACGGGATACCACTGCAGTTACTAGGACACTAACTCAATCCTCCAAAACTTTAGTATTTAAGGGAAAGTAATAACTTGTCCTGCCTTTCTGGTATGAATTTAATTTGTGCACAGGAAATAGTTCCAGTGAATATTGGTAATTCTTTGATTCAAAAGAATCTCAGCTGATGAACGCCAAGGAATATGAGAATTAGGAAAATTACTCTTTTGCAACCCCCTAACAAAATAAGTGCTTCAGGCAGTGGTCAACAATGGATGGTGAAACCATGAGGAAGGATGTTGATGGAGAAGTTCATTATGAAGAGGGAACCCACTGAACCCGGTGATCGGTCTTAGCATCAGTAAGAATGTGACCACCAGACATCTCATGCCTGCCAATGTGCCGCAGGGTAAAACGATGGCACCACCCATGAAGTAGACTTACTCCCCCCGAAACAAATTAATCACGGCTTTAGACCTCTAGGCAGTGTAGAGGCGAAAAGCAGGATGGAAGAACGGAGGACGCCAGGCGGAAGCCTCCAGCCGCATGCAAAATGTGTTCATTCTGCAGGACAACCCACCTCGTTTCTTCTTCACCATGTTAGCAGCATTAAAAACGGGGAGTGGGTGAGGAGACTGTTCTAGATTACAGGAGACTGAAGAGACAACAAGCAAATAGTACATCAAGTAGAAATCAAGGGTAAAAAGATATTTTTTAAGATTGGGAAATTTGAGGATATTAAGAAAATATTCATTTTGTTAGATTTGATAACAGCATTTTGGCTTAGAAAAAAATGTTTTTTAAAAAATGCATACTGAAGTATTTAGAGGTAAAATAGTGCATCTGAGATTGGCTTTAAAATACTCCAGAAGAAACCCAGGAGTGTGGTAAAGCGTGGGCCAGTTAGGGCTTGGTGAGCGAGGTGTCCAGGAATGCTCGTTGCACTCTTCTATGTACAAATTTTGGAAATTTTCACAATAAAATTTGTGTTTACATAAATGAAATGACGCAGGAAAATATTCTAGGAACGCTAAGTGAAAAGAAGTCTCGAAAATAGCTTGATCCCATTTGAATTTTTACAAGGCGTTATAGTGCAGCTTTTCAAAAACGTACGGATAGGCCCAGAAAGTTAAGAGTGGTAAATTCTAAGTTGTGGGCACACGTGATTTTTATTTTTATGCTTTTCAGTATTTTCCAAGTTTTACTTTTAAAAAGTTTTTCAAGATGTTTTACACCTCTGTTATTTATCACATAAACTTCGTGGTTATTTACTGAATCAACTGTGAATTATGATAAAAAATTTTTTAAAAATAGTTTATATCAAGGTAGCTCTTGATTTTAAAAATAAACTTGACTATTTCTAAAACTGTGAGCTAAAGTCGTAAAACCATTCCTTGTGCTTAAGGTCCTTTCCTGCAAAGTTGAAATAAACGTGCTTGTTTATTACCTATTAAGAGTACAGGACTGCAGCAGGCGTGGGGAGAGGAGAGGTACAAAAAACTACCCTTCCTGGACTTCAGATCCAGCCGGAAGGCCACTTAAAATATGTAATAGTATAAAGAGGCCAAAAGCTGTCACGGGGATCGCAGGCCGGCCGCCGGCGCCCCGGGGCGGGACGGGATGGGACGGGTCCGCCAATGGCTGCAGCCGGCCGAGCGCCCCGGTGACGCCCCCACGTGCGGGAAGGGCGCCCCCGGCTTGGCGCTGCGGGGACGCGGGCTCCGGGCCGCACTCTCCTCGCGGCCTCCGTGCACTGCGGGCGCCGGCAGACCGCTCTCGCTGCCCGGTCCGCGCCCCGCGCCCCGGATCCGGCGCCGCCATGGACGGGGCGGCCGAGCTGGTCTTCTGCGTGAACGGCCGCAAGGTGAGCGCCCTGGGCTTCTGCTGGGGGGGCTTGCCTGTGCGCCCCTCTCCACCCGGGCGGGGAAAGGATGCCTTTGCAGGGACTGCCCTGGATCTGCGGGTCTCCCCTTTCTGATGCTCCTTTCCCCTCGCGGTCCCAGACGCCCGGCCCATTACCAACCCCCCATCCCAGAAACGAAAGCAAAACAAGAGAAAGGACCATTCTTGCTCGTCCAGGTCCCCGCTCCCCGATCTCCCTCCCTCAAACCACACGGATAAGGGCAAGTGCCTCAGCAGACTGAGAGCCATCCCGAGGTGGCTCAGCCTCAGCGCTCGGTCGTGTGTGGATGTGCAGAGGGCAATTTAGAGTCGGGACGGGACCACAGAGATGAACCAATCCAGACCACTCGCCTCGTTTCTCAGAGGACGAAATGATGACTTTCCAAAGTCACAGCGAGTTCCTAGCAAAGCGGAACCAGTGCCGGGCTCTGGGGACTTAAAGGTCCTCACTGGGTCCACTGTCCTCTCAGAAGCCCGGCTAGCTCTGCAGAACCTCTGGGACCGTTCCAGGCAGTGTCCCGTGTGGGGACAGCAAAGCCCCGGGTATCCTGTAACCTCCTCCTCCCTCGCAACATGGCCATAGACACTGCTAACTCTTAATGTTGTCACAGCGTATGGCACCACTTTGCAAGGGGGAAGCGAGGCACGAAGGTTAAAGGGCTTGCCTAAGAGCTGACAGCCGTGCAAGGGTCGTGACAGCTACCTTTCTACAGCACCAGCCGGGTCAGTGCCACCTGCGATCCCTGCTCCTGGGTCAGGGATGGCCACAGCGTGCCCCTGACTGGCACGTGGCATCACCAGGAAGCTAATGAGGGCCGAGCACCAGGGCCTCTCATCGGCAGGCCCCTTCTAAGGCCCTGAGCCTAATTTCCCGTTTGTCGTTTTGTATTATTTTTCTTAAAAAGGTGCCCCCCCCCCAACTATGCAGGTTCTAGGCCCCATACCACCTTCCTCTGCCCTGCCACCTGGGTCCCACACCGGATAAGATGAGCTTGTTTGTCCTGCCCTGTGTGGGGGCTATTAGGCTGCCCTCGCAGGACTGCTGGGAGAGAGAAATGAGGCAGCGGGGTCAAGTGGTAACAGTATGTCACTTTTTCTTCCTTTGCAAAACTGAATGGCATCCCAACACGACTCTGGCCTTCTTGTTTAGACAAGCATGGATTGGGTCTGCTCTCACTCTCACTGGGATGAGCTAACCTCTCAGTGCTCGGCTCCTCTGTTGGAAGGGGCCACGTGCTTACTGTACTACAGGGATGATGGGAATTTAACTGGTTATTTGTTAAAGGCCTGCTGTGGGCCAGGGGGTGTTCCAGGGCTCCCAGGGGACACGGCAGAACACAGAGGGACCGAGTCCCTGTCGATGGAGTTTACACTGTGTGGGGACAGACAGGCAGGCAGCGTCTAAGTGCGTGGAAAGGTTTAACGCGGGGCAGTGAGAAGGGCTAGGATGAAAACTGGAGCAGAGCGGGAAGCAGGGTGGGCAGGAGCCGATTCTCCAGATGGGAGGGATGTTTAGCCCTCCCAGAGGTGCCATCTGAGCGGGACAGGTAGGGGGTGCGGAGCGGATGTCTAGGAGAGGAGCACTGCAGAGCGAGGGGACAGGGGCAGAGGCCCTCAGGCGCAGGGTCCTGGTGCTGCGGGACAGCAAGGCTGGGGCTGCGGCAGGGGCCAGCGCCGGGTTATTCAGGCTTTGTGGCCACGGTGAGGGCTTTGGTTAAAGGGGAGAACAGGTGTTTGAGTCTGCCTTCTCCCCTGCCTCCGGCCCCTGCTCCTCAGTGCTGGCAAGCAAGCCTGCTTGCCCCGTGGACACAAGTTCAGAGGGGAGGGGCTGTTGAGGAGGGAGAGAGAGAGAGAGAGAGAGAGAGAGTACCTCTTTTCTGGGATATCAATTGTTACTCATCACAGGAAAAACATAGAGTAGATCCTATATTTGCTCATCACCTGTTGCACCAGGGAAGAGGGCTCAGTCAAACAAGCCCTCCGGGATTAAAACTTGCCTTTGAAAAGGAAGCTCAGGAGCCAGTTAGGAGACTCCAGGTGATGCGACTGGCCTCCAGGCTGTGCTGTTTGCAAAATGCCCCCAGGTCTCCAAAAGGTGTCACTGGGCAGGGGCTGAGGCCACTGGGAGAAATTTCTGAGATCTTACTTGTTCCACCAGGGACCCCCAGAGGAACAGGTGACCCAGTTAACATGGATTTGAGGGAGGAAGAGCCCAGGAGTGACTTATCTCTAGAGGCCACTCTCGAACACAGTCAGGAGCTGAAGTGTGTCCTTCGACAAGCAGCGATGCATAGAGATCACAGGTGTGGGCTTTGGAACTAGTTAGGCATGGGTTTGCATCCCGTGCTATCTGCTCTGCCCCTCAGCAGCCCTGAGCCTTGGGTGAGTTGCTTAATATCTCTGAGCCTCAGTTTCCCCCCTACAGAATGGGGCTGGCAACAGTACCTTCTCCCGTGGGATTGGGAAGAGGACTAAATTCCCTGGAGAGTGGTCAGCAAGGTGCTCGGCACACAATCAGCACCCAGTATGTGGAAATGATTGTTAATATCTGGACTGAAAAACAGTCTGCTTCATGCGTAGAGCCGGGACATGCCACAAGTGTCACGGGGGCCAAAAGGAGTCCCTGAGCATTCTTTGCCCAACAAAACGTAGGGTCTTTATATCAGTATAGGCACCCGAAGGGCTGTCCATTGCCTGGTGTTTCCCAGGGTTTTGGTTTACAGAACTGAGAGGAAATTTCTGGGATGCTGCGATGACTATCACGATTCAGAGAAAGGTGGAGGGGGTGGGGTGACTTAGGCGGGAAGAACCAACAATTAAAATGAATTTTACAGCAACCCCGAGCTCAGCAGAAGTGTCCTCGCTGACGCCCGCTCCGGCCTCCTTCTCTGCTCTGAGGCTGCTGTGGGTGGGGGTCTGCTCCTGACCAGGTCCCAGAGTTCACGCCTCCTTCTTCCCTCGCCTACTCCCATCCTGGTCCTTTCACACATACCCGTCTCCCTTCCTTTCCTTTCTTTCTCCTCTTAATCTCCTTTCTCTTTCTTCTTTCTGCCTCCGCCTTGGATCTGGCGGGGCCCCCTGAGGCATCAGTCACCAGCCCTGCACAGAGGAAAGTGATTTCTCAACCTTGTGCAATATGAACTTGAAATCTCCCGAAGGGCTGGTGGAGATGCAGAGGGACAGATTCTCCCCCTGCAACACGCACGGCCGTACCGAGACGGGAACATGCGATGCTCCCGACCGGAGAACTGGCATCGTCTCTCCAAACCCCAGTCAGTGAGATAACTCTGTTCCTCCTTCCTTCCCCGCACCCCAGCACCTGTGTTGGTCCTGACCTCCCTGTTTCACTCCAAGACCCGCCAGGACAGGGTGCGGGCTAGACCCCATCTCCCACTTCCCTTGGCCAAATATGCCATGGACCAAATCAAGAAAAACAAACACGGTTCAAGCCAGTGGCGCTTTGAGCCAGACTCCAGTCTCTTGAGACATCTCCTGGAACAAATACCCAAACAAGCAAGGCCTGCTTCTTCCGTTAATTCTTTCCCAAAAGACACAAATCTCTCTCAAGCCTAAAATGCTATTCTTTACTATCCAGGCTACCCAGATCCTGTTTCTCCATTAAAATTGGGCTTCTGTGGATTCACCATCATGTGTATTACTTAAGATTAGTTTCAGCTGCAGATGGCACAGACTCAAAACTAGCAGTGGTTCAAAGAAGATACAAATCATTTCTACTTTTACATAAAGGATATCTGGAGATAGACATTGTGGGGCTGGTCCAGAAGCTTCATGGTGTCATCTAGGTCCCGGGTTTCTTCTCTTTCCTCTGCTGCCGTTAACGTGTTGCCTTATGGTCTAAAATGGTTGCCTGGGCTTTAGCCATTTCATCCCTATTCCAGGCAGCAGGAAGGAAGAAAGGGAGAATGCATGCTGGGATAGACAACTGACAATTTCTGCCACGATTATTGGCACTTTTCTGTTTTTCTTTCTTTTCTTCTGTTCAGATGTCCCAGTCAGTGAGAAATCCTTTGTCCCTCCTTAGTGTTCTCATAGTAAATTGTACATACCATGTTCAAGTTATTCACTTCAATTAACTGACATTCATTATGTCTCTATGATACCTCCCCAGCAGCTAGCTCAGTGTCTGACACAAAGAAGAAGAACAGGAGGTGATTGCTCTCAGGATCAGGAGAGGTTTATATACACAAATAATTGTGATGCAGGGTAAAAGTTCTAGGCAGGATGGATATTGACTGTGGAGCCCAGAGGATGGTCACTTGGAGCAGAGAGTGGGAGGATGGCAGCACCCCCACAGGAGAGAACATCTGAGCAGGCCTTTGAAGGACAGGCAGAATTCTGCCAAGTAGGGAGGAGAGAGGCCTTTCCAGACAGAGGGAATCCTGTATGCAACTGTAGGAAGGGGAGAGCCCGCGCTCTGCGGGGGGCAGCCAATTCTCCCGTGTCACCGGAGCTCGAGATGTGCCGGTTAAGTGGCTGGAGATAATGGGCAGTTTGACAAAGAGGCCTCGTAGGATGTGCCACCGAGTTTGAATTTTTTCTCGTATTCCAGGACCTCTTGAATACAAATTCACCTCAGACCCACTCGGTGTGCTCGTTAAAGACGCACATTTTCTGGTTCCCTCTCCCAGAAATCCTGATTCCACAGGAGTTTCGTTTTAACAAGCACCCGGCATGATGCAGGAGTCCCCAGCACGGCAGTTTGGCAGCCAGGAGCCAGTGTTGAATTTAAGCAGACACAGGCGATGCCCAGACTTGCATTTTAGAGAGGTCTCTCAGTAACGGAATAGAGGGTGGCATTGCGGGTGCCGAGAATGGAGGCAGGAGGCCCATGAGGTGGCCTTATAATTGTTGGGACAAGAGGTGATCCACGTTGATTCCAGGGAGTGGCAGTAGAAGTGAGGGGCATGTAGAGAATCATTCTGGAAGTGTAAGTGGCAGGAC